CATGATGGCAGAGCAGCCATGATGGCAGAGCAGCCATGATGGCAGAGCAGCCATGATGGCAGAGCAGCCATGATGGCCAGAGGCAAGCCATGATGGCAGAGCAGCCATGATGGCAGAGCAGCCATGATGGCAGAGCAGCCATGATGGCAGAGCAGCCATGATGGCAGAGCAGCCATGATGGCAGAGCAGCCATGATGGCAGAGCAGCCATGATGGCAGAGCAGCCATGATGGCAGAGCAGCCATGATGGCAGAGCAGCCATGATGGCAGAGCAGCCATGATGGCAGAGCAGCCATGATGCAGAGCAGCCATGATGGCAGAGCAGCCATGATGGCAGAGCAGCCATGATGGCAGAGCAGCCATGATGGCAGAGCAGCCATGATGGCAGAGAGCCATGATGGCAGAGCAGCCATGATGGCAGAGCAGCCATGATGGCAGAGCAGCCATGATCGGCAGAGCAGCCCTGATGCAGAGCAGCCATGATGGCAGAGCAGCCATGATGGCAGAGCAGTCCCATGATGGCAGAGCAGCCATGATGGCAGAGCAGCCATGGATGGGCAGAGCAGCCATGATGGCAGAAGCAGCCATGATGGCAGCAGCAAGCCATGATGGCAGAGCAGCCATGATGGCAGAGCAGACATGATGGCAGAGCAGCCATGATGGCAGAGCAGCCATGATGGCAGAGCAGCCATGATGGCAGAAGCAGCCATGATGGCAGAGCAGCCATGATGGCAGAGCAGCCATGATGGCAAGAGCAGCCATGATGGCAGAGCAGCCATGATGGCAGAGCAGCCATGATGGCAGAGCAGCCATGATGGCAGCAGCAGCCATGATGGCAGAGCAGCCATGATGGCAGAGCAGCCATGATGGCAGAGCAGCCATGATGGCAAGCAGCCATGATGGCCGAGCAGCCATGATGGCAGAGCAGCCATGATGGCAGAGCAGCCATGATGGCAGAGCAGCCATGATGGCAGAGCAAGCCATGATGGCAGAGCCAGCCATGATGGCAGAGCAGCCATTGATGGCAGAGCAGCCATGATGGCAGAGCAGCCATGATGGCAGAGCAGCCATGATGGCAGAGCAGCATGATGGCAGAGCAGCCATGATGGCAGAGCAGCCATGATGGCAGAGCAGCCATGATGGCGAGCAGCCATGATGGCAGAGCAGCCATGATGGCAGAGCAGCCATGATGGCAGAGCAGCCATGATGGCAGAGCAGCCATGATGGCAGAGCAGCCATGATGGCAGAGCAGCCATGATGGCAGAGCAGCCATGATGGCAGAGCAGCAGATGGCAGAGCAGCCATGATGGCAGAGCAGCCATGATGGCAGAGCAGCCATGATGGCAGAGCAGCCCATTGATGGCCAGACGCAGCCATGATGGCAGAGCAGCCATGATGGCAGAGCAGCCATGATGGCAGAGAGCATGAGCAGCCATGATTGGCAGAGCGCCATGATGGCAGAGCAGCCATGATGGCAGAGCAGCCATGATGGCAGAGCAGCCATGATGGCAGAGCAGCCATGATGGCAGAGCAGCCATGATGGCAGAGCAGCCATGATGGCAGAGCAGCCATGATGGCAGAGCAGCCATGATGGCAGAGCAGCCATGATGGCAGAGCAGCCATGATGGCAGAGCAGCCATGATGGCAGAGCAGCCATGATGGCAGAGCAGCCATGATGGCAGAGCAGCCATGATGGCAGAGCAGCCATGATGGCAGAGCAGCCATGATGGCAGAGCAGCCATGATGGCAGAGCAGCCATGATGGCAGAGCAGCCATGATGGCAGAGCAGCCATGATGGCAGAGCAGCCATGATGGCAGAGCAGCCATGATGGCAGAGCAGCCATGATGGCAGAGCAGCCATGATGGCAGAGCAGCCATGATGGCAGAGCAGCCATGATGGCAGAGCAGCCATGATGGCAGAGCAGCCATGATGGCAAGAGCAGCCATGATGGCAGAGCAGCCATGATGGCAGAGCAGCCATGATGGCAGAGCAGCCATGATGGCAGAGCAGCCATGATGGCAGAGCAGCCATGATGGCAGAGCAGCCATGATGGCAGAGCAGCCATGATGGCAGAGCAGCCATGATGGCAGAGCAGCCATGATGGCAGAGCAGCCATGATGGCAGAGCAGCCATGATGGCAGAGCAGCCATGATGGCAGAGCAGCCATGATGGCAGAGCAGCCATGATGGCAGAGCAGCCATGATGGCAGAGCAGCCATGATGGCAGAGCAGCCATGATGGCAGAGCAGCCATGATGGCAGAGCAGCCATGATGGCAGAGCAGCCATGATGGCAGAGCAGCCATGATGGCAGAGCAGCCATGATGGCAGAGCAGCCATGATGGCAGAGCAGCCATGATGGCAGAGCAGCCATGATGGCAGAGCAGCCATGATGGCAGAGCAGCCATGATGGCAGAGCAGCCATGATGGCAGAGCAGCCATGATGGCAGAGCAGCCATGATGGCAGAGCAGCCATGATGGCAGAGCAGCCATGATGGCAGAGCAGCCATGATGGCAGAGCAGCCATGATGGCAGAGCAGCCATGATGGCAGAGCAGCCATGATGGCAGAGCAGCCATGATGGCAGAGCAGCCATGATGGCAGAGCAGCCATGATGGCAGAGTCAGCCCATGATGGCAGAGCAGCCATGATGGCAGAGCAGCCATGATGGCAGAGCAGCCATGATGGGCAGAGCAGCCATGATGGCAGAGCAGCCATGATGGCAGAGCAGCCATGATGGCAGAGCAGCCATGATGGCAGAGCAGCCATGATGGCAGAGCAGCCATGATGGCAGAGCAGCCATGATGGCAGAGCAGCCATGATGGCAGAGCAGCCATGATGGCAGAGCAGCCATGATGGCCAGAGCAGCCATGATGGCAGAGCAGCCATGATGGCAGAGCAGCCATGATGGCCAGAGCAGCCATGATGGCAGAGCAGCCATGATGGCAGAGCAGCCATGATGGCAGAGCAGCCATGATGGCAGAGCAGCCATGATGGCAGAGCAGCCATGATGGCAGAGCAGCCATGATGGCAGAGCAGCCATGATGGCAGAGCAGCCATGATGGCAGAGCAGCCATGATGGCAGAGCAGCCATGATGGCAGAGCAGCCATGATGGCAGAGCAGCCATGATGGCAGAGCAGCCATGATGGCAGAGCAGCCATGATGGCAGAGCAGCCATGATGGCAGAGCAGCCATGATGGCAGAGCAGCCATTGATGGCAGAGCAGCCATGATGGGCAGAGCAGCCATGATGGCAGAGCAGCCATGATGCAGAGCAGCCATGATGGCAGAGCAGCCATGATGGCAGAGCAGCCATGATGGCAGAGCAGCCATGATGGCAGAGCAGCCATGATGGCAGAGCAGCCATGATGGCAGAGCAGCCATGATGGCAGAGCAGCCATGATGGCAGAGCAGCCATGATGGCAGAGCAGCCATGATGGCAGAGCAGCCATGATGGCAGAGCAGCCATGATGGCCAGAGCAGCCATGATGGCAGAGCAGCCATGATGGCAGAGCAGCCATGATGGCAGAGCAGCCATGATGGCAGAGCAGCCATGATGGCAGAGCAGCCATGATGGCAGAGCAGCCATGATGGCAGAGCAGCCATGATGGCAGAGCAGCCATGATGGCAGAGCAGCCATGATGGCAGAGCAGCCATGATGGCAGAGCAGCCATGATGGCAGAGCAGCCATGATGGCAGAGCAGCCATGATGGCAGAGCAGCCATGATGGCAGAGCAGCCATGATGGCAGAGCAGCCATGATGGCAGAGCAGCCATGATGGCAGAGCAGCCATGATGGCAGAGCAGCCATGATGGCAGAGCAGCCATGATGGCAGAGCAGCCATGATGGCAGAGCAGCCATGATGGCAGAGCAGCCATGATGGCAGAGCAGCCATGATGGCAGAGCAGCCATGATGGCAGAGCAGCCATGATGGCAGAGCAGCCATGATGGCAGAGCAGCCATGATGGCAGAGCAGCCATGATGGCAGAGCAGCCAGTGATGGCAGAGCAGCCATGATGGCAGAGCAGCCATGATGGCAGAGCAGCCATGATGGCAGAGCAGCCATGATGGCAGAGCAGCCATGATGGCAGAGCAGCCATGATGGCAGAGCAGCCATGATGGCAGAGCAGCCATGATGGCAGAGCAGCCATGATGGCAGAGCAGCCATGATGGCAGAGCAGCCATGATGGCAGAGCAGCCATGATGGCAGAGCAGCCATGATGGCAGAGCAGCCATGATGGCAGAGCAGCCATGATGGCAGAGCAGCCATGATGGCAGAGCAGCCATGATGGCAGAGCAGCCATGATGGCAGAGCAGCCATGATGGCAGAGCAGCCATGATGGCAGAGCAGCCATGATGGCAGAGCAGCCATGATGGCAGAGCAGCCATGATGGCAGAGCAGCCATGATGGCAGAGCAGCCATGATGGCAGAGCAGCCATGATGGCAGAGCAGCCATGATGGCAGAGCAGCCATGATGGCAGAGCAGCCATGATGGCAGAGCAGCCATGATGGCAGAGCAGCCATGATGGCAGAGCAGCCATGATGGCAGAGCAGCCATGATGGCAGAGCAGCCATGATGGCAGAGCAGCCATGATGGCAGAGCAGCCATGATGGCAGAGCAGCCATGATGGCAGAGCAGCCATGATGGCAGAGCAGCCATGATGGCAGAGCAGCCATGATGGCAGAGCAGCCATGATGGCAGAGCAGCCATGATGGCAGAGCAGCCATGATGGCAGAGCAGCCATGATGGCAGAGCAGCCATGATGGCAGAGCAGCCATGATGGCAGAGCAGCCATGATGGCAGAGCAGCCATGATGGCAGAGCAGCCATGATGGCAGAGCAGCCATGATGGCAGAGCAGCCATGATGGCAGAGCAGCCATGATGGCAGAGCAGCCATGATGGCAGAGCAGCCATGATGAGCATCCAAGTCCCCCGCCTCTAAACGCACAGATAGAAAGCACCTTCACCAGGCCCAGACAAGCCTTGAGCATTCCATTCGTACCTTGGCCTTGAACCTGGTTGCGACGATCTCATTGGTCGACAGCAAAGCAGTCATGATGGCCGGCAGGTGAATCTCCAGATCCCCCGTCTCTAGCCGCACAGATAGCACCTTCACCAGGCCCAGACACGCCTTCAGCACGTCCCGGTGCGGCGAGCGGAAGAGGAGGAGGAGGGACGGGAGGAGCGAGGGCACGAGGTGGAGGAGCGAGGAGGAGAAGTGGAAGATGAGGCGAGCGAGGGACATTATTGCTGCGCTCTGCCCGTGCGGGGTGCTGCTGGCTAGCCCTGCCATCACCTGGTAGCACCAGCAGCGGAAGGGGGAAAGAGAAAGGACAGGGAAAGTGCAGAGGGAAGGGCAATGGGGGAGAATAAGCAGGATGTGCGATGGGGTGCAGCAGATGCGGCGAGCTAGGGCCATGACTGCTGCACTCTGGCCATGCGGGGTGCTGCTGACTAACCCTGCCATCACCTGAGATAGGTGGAGGGGAGAGAGGCACGCAAGCAGACGCAGAGAGGGGGAAGGAGCATATGGTTGTGAGGCACGCAGAGGGGGAACAACATGGAGACCAGCCTTGGCTTGTGAGAGTCAACTTTATATTCACAGCAGCATTTTTGCACATGGAGAGAATGGGTTCCAGAAACAAAGGAGTCATTTTTTAGAGTTCAATTCAAACGTGACTCGCAGAAACCAGGGAACGAACCATTGTGAAGAATTTGAGAAAGGGCGAATCGGCCTCATCGTCAGCACAGCACCACCCGCATCAGCACCAGCATCAGCACCAGCGTCCATGGACGGATCGCCACTGAAGCCGCCGTACATGACCCCACCGGTTGAAAACCAAGGAACCAGGGAAGGGAACGAACCATGGTGAAGAAGTTGAGGAAGGGCGAGTCGGTGTCGTCAGCACCACCACCAGCAGCATCAGCATCAGCGTCCATCGACGGATCGCCACTGAAGCCGCCGTACATGACCCCACCGGTTGAAAACCAAGGAACCAGGGAAGGGAACGAACCATGGTGAAGAAGTTGAGGAAGGGCGAGTCGGTGTCGTCAGCACCACCACCAGCAGCATCAGCATCAGCGTCCATCGACGGATCGCCACTGAAGCCGCCGTACATGACCCCACCGGTTGAAAACCAAGGAACCAGGGAAGGGAACGAACCATGGTGAAGAAGTTGAGGAAGGGCGAGTCGGTGTCGTCAGCACCACCACCAGCAGCATCAGCATCAGCGTCCATCGACGGATCGCCACTGAAGCCGCCGTACATGACCCCACCGGTTGAAAACCAAGGAACCAGGGAAGGGAACGAACCATGGTGAAGAAGTTGAGGAAGGGCGAGTCGGCATCGGCGTCATCAGCATCAGCATCCATGGACTGATCGCCACTGAAGCCGCAGTACATGACCCCCCCAGCCTAACAGTTAATTTTCTTGGAAAGCAGGGAACGAACCATGGTGAAGAAGTTGAGGAAGGGCGAGTCCGCATCATCATCAGCAGCACCGCCATCCATGGATTGATCGCCACTGAAGCCGCCGTACATGACCCCACCGGCCGCCAGGAAGCGCTGCTCGTGCTGCTCATCTGCCAGTCGCTGCATCTCCTTGGCCAGCGCTATCAGCAGCTGATAAGCCGCGTCGCGTGCCTTGCGATTCACCTGGGGGGAGAGAGAGGGGGTGGGTGTGGGTGAATAAGAGTGTGTGCTACTGCTGCTCGTGCTGCTCGTGCTGCTCGTGCTGCTCGTGCTGCTCGTCCGCCAGTCGTTGCATCTCCTTGGCCTATCAGCAGCTGGTATGCCGCATCCCATGCCTTGCGGTTCTCCTGAGGGGTGAGGGGGAGTGAAGGAGAGGAGAGGACGTGGAGAGTGTGTGAGCACAAGAGCCTGCATGTGTGTTGCTGCTCCTTGTGTTGCTTTCTGTGGTGCTCGTCTCACAAGTCGCTGCATCTTGTTGCCCAGGGCTTTCTGTGGGCTATCAGGGCCTCATGGAACGCGGGGACAAAGGAGCGAGCCAGATGCAGCAGCACAGTTGACAGTCTCTTGATGCGGTAATGCCTCCATCCCTCTCCGTCCCTCTCATCCCTCTCACCACCTACCTCCCCCCTTCACCACTCACCTCTTTCACGGACAGCAGAATCTCAGTGAGAGTGGCAGCAACTGCCTCGTGGAACGACGGGACATTGGAGCGAGCCAGATGCAGCAGCACAATGGAACTGACAGGATCTTGATCTGATACTGTGATCAACCCATCTTCCTACTTCTTCCAAATTCTGTTCCCCCCCCCCTCCCTCTCTCTTCTTCCTCCTCACCTCTTTCACGGACAGCACAATCTCAGTGAGCGTGGCACCCACTGCCTCGTGGAACGCCGGGACATCCGAGCGAGCCAGATGCAGAAGCACAGCTGAGAGGCTGTTGATGCGGTAGTGGCGAGACGGCGAGTGCACCCCGGACACACCCATCAGCAACTCCTGCAACACTGCCTTTGCTAGTACGCCTCCCCTTGCTGCTCCGCCTGGTGCTCCCCCTGCCACGCCCTCGGATTGCTGGCTCAGGAGCTCTGGGTGGGTCTGGGAGAGAGGGTGGGGGGGGGGGGGGGAGGAAGGAAATGGACAGCTCTTGATGCGGTAGTGGCGAGACGGCGAGTGCACCCCGGACACACCCATCTGCAGCTCCTGCAACACTGCCTTTGCTAGCACGCCTCCCCCTGCTGCTCCTCCTGCTGCTTCTCCTGCCACACCCTCTGATTGCTGGCTCAGGAGCTCAGGGTGGGTCTGCAGTTAAAAAATGGAAGGAAACAGAAAAAAGGGGGAGAGGAGGGCGGGGTTGGAATTAGGCGGTAGTGGCGAGACGGCGAGTGCACCCCACCCACGCCCATCAGCAGCTCCTGCAACACTGCCCTTGCCAACACGCCTCCTCCTCCTCCTCCTGCTGACCCCGCCACAGCCTCCGATTGCTGGTTAAGGAGCTCCGGATGGGTCTGCAGGTATGGGAAGGGGCAAGAGGGAAGGGGGGGGCAGGGAGGCAGGCAACGAGGGAAGTGGGGAGCAGGGGCGGCTGTTAATGCGGTAGTGGCGAGACGGCGAGTGCACCCCACCCACGCCCATCAGCAGCTCCTGCAACACTGCCCTTGCCAACACGCCCTCTCCTGCTGCGCTCTCTGATTGATGGTGATGGTGATGGTGATGGTGATGGTGATGGTGATGGTGATGGTGATGGTGATGGTGATGGCGAAGTGATGGTGGTGGTGATGGTGGTGACGATGGTGATGATGTGCCAACGGCCCAGTGTTTGGCCGATCTGATGTGACACAGCGAGTCACACGTGCATACCTCCAGCAGTGATGCGAGCAGCTTGTATGCTTTCTTCTGCACGGCAGGGACTTGTCCTGATGGCGAAGTGATGATGATGGTGATGGTGGTGATGATGGTGATGATGGTGATGATGGTGATGATGGTGATGATGGTGATGATGGTGATGATGGTGATGATGGTGATGATGGTGATGATGGTGGCGGTAATGGGATGGCAATGCATACCTCAAGCAGCGATGCGAGCAGCTTGTAAGCCTTCTTCTGCACGGCAGCAGACTTGTCCTGGATGGCGGGCCTCGTTGCGTTGTAGAGCGCACGGCAGCACTCGAGGTCCAAGCCGGGCAGCAGGGAGAGCGAGAGATCCATGAGCATGGCCCTGGTAGTTTGGGGGGGGAGGGGAGGTGGGGGAAGGGAGGTGGGGGAAGGGAGGTGGGGGAGGGGAGGTGGGGGAAGGGAGGTGGGGGAGGGGAGGGTCACAGACGGGATGTCAACGACACTCTCCTGGATGGCAAGCCTTGTTGCGTTGTAGAGCGCACGGCAGCACTCCACGTCCAGCCCGGGCAGCAGGGAGAGCGAGAGATCCATGAGCATGGCCCTGGAGGGGGAGAGGTAATTGAGAGAGAAGTTTGCTCATGATATTCGTGAACAAGTGCGTTCACTCACCTCTTCTCGCCAGCTTCCTTGCTCGAATCTCCCCCCGCTGCTGACTTTTGAGTCGACTCAAAAGTCAACTCGCTTCCTTGCTCGAATCTCCCCCCGCTGCTGACTTTTGAGTCGACTCAAAAGTCAACTCGCTTCCTTGCTCGAATCTCCCCCCACTGCTGACTTTTGAGTCGACTCAAAAGTCAACTCGCTTCCTTGCTCGAATCTCCCCCCGCTGCTGCACCCGCACCAGCAATCACCAGAGGCCGCAGCGTGTGTGACAGAGAGCAACTTGCTCATGATGTTCGTGAAGAACAGTCGAAGGGCAGCCGGGTCAGCCACAGCAGCGAGCGCCCCGATCGCACTCTGCAGCTCGCCCTTCTTGGCTGACGGGGCACGCTGATAAACACTTGCTCGTTTGCCCACTCTCACTCACCTCTTTTCTCCAGCTTCCTTGCTCGAATCCGCTGCTCCTGCTGCCCCTCCGGTCCCATCACCAGAGGCAGCAGCATTTGTGGCAGAGAGCAACTTGCTCATGATATTGGTGAAGAACAGTCGAAGGGCCGCCGGGTCAGCCACAGCAGCGAGCGCCCCGATCGCGCTCTGAAGCTCGCCCCTCTTGGCTGATGGGGCCGCCACGAACGCGTCAAACAGCATCGGAAGGAAGGGACGGGCTGAGGCTGACATGGCCGCCAGGTTAGCGGCTGCCACGTCAGCGGTGAGCTGGCGCCACGCGCGGCGCTCGGCGTCGGTGGTGTCGTCGTCGTCCTCTAGTGCCGCCCGAAACGCTGCTTCTGCTTCCGCTGCTGCTGTCTTATCAGTGGCAGCAGAAGCACCGGCAGCAGCAGCAGCAGCAGCATCAGATGTAGTGTCCGTGATTAGAGCAGCCAGTGCAGTGGTGGGGGCGCCTGACAGACCGTCAAAGGCAGTGAGGCGCTTGGAGAGGGGCGGGCGACCCATGGCCATGCGGTTCTGATCCACCATGAGCTGAGAAGGGACAGGGGAGGGAGAGGGGATGGGGGCGGTTGGAGGGTAAGGGGGTTGCTGGGTGTTGCTAGATCTTGGAGAGGGGCGGGCGACCCATGGCCATGCGGTTCTGATCCACCATGAGCTGGTGGGGACACAATGGAGGAGAGAGGAAGTTGAGGGGGATGTGAAAAAGAGGGGGGGGGGGTGGGTGTTTCTTGCTTGCGCTTGGAGAGGGGCGGACGACCCATGGCCATGCGGTTCTGATCCACCATGAGCTGGTGGAGGGAACGGGACACGGAGGGAAACGGGGGGAGAGTGGAAGAGGGGGTGGAGGTGCAGATTGGGTGAGGGAAAGTGAAGGGAGGAGAAAGGTGCATGTTCCTCGTACGTGGGAGGGGGAACACAGCCAGCAACAAGTAGTTAGCTGATGGAGAGTGGTAAGTTGATAAGAACAGCAGGCTGGAAAGGGATACTTGCATTGCCTGCAGGGTGACACAGACTGCAGACTAGCTTTTTGTCAAATAAAGGCACGCAGGTTAGACGAACTTGATTAGAAAAAACGGGACTCGTTATAAAGAGAACTGCATTACCTGCAGGGTGACACAGACAGCCGACCGGATTCCATCGCCCTCGTCGCCCTTCCCTCCTGCTGCCACTGCGTCCGCCAGGTGCTTAGCTAAGTGTGGAAACACCTACATGCGTATCAATGCAGTTGAGGAGTAGCGAAAAAAAAGGTTTCACGTGAAGAAGGAGCAAGAAAATCACATATGAGTTGGACGGCAGTGATTCTATCAGAATTCCCACCCTCCATCCAACCCCTCACCTCTCAACCTAATCCCCTCAGCCAACCTCCCACCCCTCAATCCATTCCAATTACCCACACCTTACCCGTCATCCCATTCCCCCACCTGAGCAGTGTCGGGCGCCAGGCTGGCGACAGCTGGCAGCAGCGACCACACCGCCGCCCGCAGCGCCGCTAGCTGCTTGGCCGCGATTGGCCGGTCGACCTGGGGCGAGCGGGCTTGCTGGGCGGCGAGGAGGAGGCGGTGGGAGAGGGGGAGGAGGGCGGTGAGGACGAAGGAGAGCGACTCGCCCGCAGTGTGGCGGCGCAGGATTGGCAGCAGCCAGACACGTGGCGCCGCGGGATTGGCTGATGCTGCAGCCGCCCCTCCTGCTCCTGCTGCTGCTGCAGCACTAGGTCCGGCAGCAGGTGCGGGAGCAGGTTCGGGGTCGAGGCCGAGGGGGAGGATAGAGAGGAAGCGGTGGGGGCCCATGGCGGCAACAGCAGCGCCGAGAGCAGCATGCAGATGCTTGTGGTGAGCCATGTCTGTGTCTGGTAAGTCGTGTAAATCAGCCAGCGTGGTGAGGGTTGGCGCGAGGAACAGGTGGGAGGAAGGACCTGGTTCGGGTGGGGCAGAAGGGGCAGCATGAGAAAATGAGGCGGCAGCGTGATGAAAGCAGAGCCGAGAGCAGCATGCAGATGCTTGTGGTGAGCCATGTCTGTGTCTGGTAGGTCGTGCAGATCGGCCAGCGTGGTGAGGGTTGGGGCAAGGAACAGGTGGGAGGAGGGACCTGCGTTTGGGGGTAGAGAGACGGGACAGTGGGGGCAGGGGGGGAAGTGGGGGCGGGGAGGAAAGGAGAGGTGGTTGAGCGGACAGTAGCGCCGCGGAAGCGTTGGGGGGCCATAGCGGCTCCCCTCGCGTCCCGCGTCCCGTGTTGGTAACGACTTACCAATACGGTCAAAGAGAGCAGCAGAGACAGGACCCACGACGCACGGAACTGGTACCCCAGCGATCGCTCCACCGCCACACACACACTCCACCACCACACACACCCGCTCCACTGGCGCTTTCCCCTTCCCACCTTCTCTCACTCGTGACTTGCTTTCTTCCCTCCATGCCAAGCTTCTCCTCTCTCCTGACTCTGCCCTGCCTCATGACTCACCAATGCGGTCAAAGAGGGTAGACACAAGAAGCAACGACAGGTCCCACGACGCACGGAACTGGTACCCCAGCGCCCGCTCCACTGCCACACACACTCGCTCCACCGGCGCTCTCCCCTTCCCCCCACCTCCTCCTGCTCCCCCTGCTCCCCCTGCTTCCGCCCCTGCGCCTTCCTGTGCGTGCCGCTGCTGCACGATAGCAGCAGAGGCAGCAACAGCAGTGTCGTCGAGGCAGGTGGGGATGAGCGCCTTGAGGCATTCCGCCGTTGCAAATGCTACTTCCTCGTGCCCGCTCGCTAGGTTGTCTGTTTTGGGAGAGAGGGGGGGGGAGGGGAGGGTAAGAAAGAAATGGGGGGAATGATGAGGCAGCATGCGCATGTAAGGGGAATGAGTTGGTCATATTTATGCTGCCTGAAACATCATGGGAATGATGAGGCAGCATGCGCATGTATGGGGAATGAGTTGGTCATATTTATGCTGCCTGAAACATCATGGGAATGATGAGGCAGCATGCGCATGTATGGGGAATGAGTTGGTCATATTTATGCTGCCTGAAACATCATGATGAACTGACCAATGAGAGTGAAGAACGTGGACGGCAGCAGGCTGACGCACGCGTCAGCGTCCATCGCATGCAGACGAATCAACGCCGCCCGCACACACTCCAGCAGTGCGCGCACCGCTGCTACATCCGTTTTCCCCCTTCCCCCTGCGCTTCCCCCGCCCCCCGCCCCCCACCCTCCGCCCGCCCCTCCCCCCAATGCCTGCCTCTCCCCCTCCTGCTTCAGCAATCGCGCTACCACCTCTGAAATGAGGGATTTAGAGACGGGTGACGTGGCAGCTGACGTGGACGCTGACGTGGCCGGGGTTGGAGCTGACATCAGCGAGTGGAGGGCGTCCAGCACGCGGCAGGCCAGGAGAGGGTGGCGGATCTCGAGAAGCTCGACCAATCGGAGGGTGACACGTGGCAGGGAGGGCGGGGAGAGGAGCGGGAGAAGCGGGCGGAGGCAGGAGATGAAACGGAGCACTGCTGCCGCTGATGTCGCAGCTGCCTCTTGTAACGATTGCTGTTGCTGACGTGGCTGCTGACGTGGCTGTTCGAGCTGCTTGGAAGGAGCGAGCGCACGGACGATCAGGGCGTCGGCGAAATCGACGAGTGCTGTGGAGGCAGCGGCAAGGGCGGCGGGAGAGGCGCGGAAGGTGCTGAGAAGCTTCAGGAGGGCGGATTGCGCCACGCTGCGCACCTGCACGGGGGCGGGAAGGGGGAGAGGTGGCGGAAGGGCAGGGGTGGCGGAAGGGAAGGGGGGGCGGAAGGGAAAGGGGGGCGGAAGGGCAGGGGGTGCAGGCCAGGGGCATGGGCAGGGGCGAGCAGGGAAGAACAGGAGATGGGAGAGGAGAACAGGGGGTGCAGGGCAAAGGCAGGGGCGAGAAGGAAAGGACAGGAGATTGTAGGGGAGGACAGGGGAGGAGGGGGGAGGGGAGAGGAGGGGGGAGGATTAGGGGGAGTAGGAAAAGAGGCAAGGCCCATACGAAACCCGAACCCTCAAACCCTGACCGACGAAAGGGTGGGGGGGAGAGGGGAGGGGGAGAAGAGAAGGGGGGAAAAGGAACTAACTCGAAACTGACCAGAAGCGACCACTGCAACGCACCTTCGGCTGACTCGCTACAGAGTGATCCAACACCGCCTTAAAGCCCGCCGCCACGTCGGCCGTCCAGGCGTTCTTGGGGTCGCCGCAACCCGCTACCCTCGCTGCAATCACATATCCCAGACAATCCACCGCCGCCGCAACCACCCTCCGCCGATCCTCCGCCCACGCCTGCCCTGTGCCGCCCACACTGCCGCCCGGGCTTTTTGTCGTTTTGCCAGCTTCGTCCTCCTCCTCCATCGATTCTTCTCCTACCACCTTATCCGCGCTAGTAGGTCCGGTTGCGTTTGTAGGCCCCCAAAGATCGACGGCGGCAATTAGCAGGGGCAGGAGCCGGGCTGCGTTCAACCGTACGATCGACTCCGGCGTGAGAGGGATCGCGAGATCCAGCAGCGCTAAGACAGCATCTAGACCGTTCACAGGTTTATCAAGGGGTTTCGGGTTTACGCGACGAGATCCTTCCATGCCGGCCGCTCCTCGAATTTCAACCGCGGATTTCAGCGACTCTGCCGTCTCTAATGCCGAAATAAGCGCCGCGAAGTACGCCGTGGGTGACGGCGACAGGCCCTGCGATCTGATGACGTCAGCGGTGGCGGAAGCGACGGCGAGAACGGTCTGCCTCTCTCGCGCGCTGTACCACTTTGTGTTCTCCGCCGCCGCCGCTACCGCATCGCCGCCGGGCGGACCCATCGCTGCGTCAGGAAGAGCGAAGGCGCAGGTGAGTGGCGGAGCAACGCGAAATTGTTGCCTGAAAAAACTCCCTCCTCAGCAATCCACTACACCGAACGCAACCAGTGAGCTGGTTTGATGGTGGTGGCAGTTGTGTCAGGCGATACTCGCTACAGGGTCGCGACGAGCGGTTCTGTATTTTTATGATGTAGTGTGTGTGCTAACAAGTATCCGCTGTACTGTGTACGACAACGGCTGATATACGCCATTCCCTTTTCGCCGGGTTTCATTTCCACTGTTGTCGGTTGTGCCATGAGACGACTTTGATTGACACTGTCTGTTGCTTGATACAGTCTCTTCAGGTGGTTGTGCGCCGGCTCGGCGGAATTGCCGTATCCTCGATAAGACCGGATGTTCTGCTGCTCTTTTGGAGATAGATTTCGTACTGCTAAACCCTTGGAAGTATTGTATACGCCATCAGTGACTGATATGTGTACTGCTGCTTGTCGTACTGCGTCCCGTGTATTGGGTATGGCAGGGACCCGTCGAAGAATCCAAGAATTTGCGCGCCCTCCATCATCAGCTCGAACTCAAATGACCAGGTATAGAAGTCTTTTCCGTCGAAGGGTGTCGATGTTTGCAGTTTTAACACATGTGCGAACTGTGATTGAACCTGAAGCGCGTCCAGTGTCTTCTCTTGTCCAGGTGAAGGCTGTTGGTGTGGCATAAAGCTGATGGAGCCACGTTGAGGTTCGTACGGGGCAAAGGTAGGTTGCTGCTGGTTTCCGCGCGCATAGGATGAACCGTCAAGACTCATTAGAGTAACTCTGTTGTTGTTGTCGCTGTTGTTTGATTGCGCAGGAGCTGCTTGTTGGTGTTGCTCGTAGAAGGACATGAAGGAGAAAAAATTCTCCATCATGCTTGGGTCGAAGCTTGCTGCTTGATTCCCGGGAGTTTCGGTAGACTCCGCAGGTGGTCTCGATGCTGTGCCTTCCTCTGTCTGTAGGCCAGAGGCTGGAGGTGGAGTAGGAGTAGTGCCGGGAGATCCGTTGGAGGAGCTCCTCTCCTTCTGAGTTGCCATGCCTTGTATTGTTGTAGGAGTTTGGGTAATCGATCTTGCCTTGGAGGCTCTCATACCATGTTGGGCTGAGAATTAGCCCTTAGGATCTTTTCAAGGCTAACACCTTTGTAGTAGGAATGTTGTAGTTTGCGGAAGCGTAATAACAAAGTTTACTGAACCACCTTGCACTGGTATGTGAGAACAAGATAAGTTGATAATAGCAGAGAGAAACAAAGCTTTATATGATTACAAAGGAATACGAAAGATTTTACTTTTAACTGTTTTGCTGTTGCAGTTCGATACAGTGACGACTCGGGTAACTGCTCAGTATCGAGTCAGTTATGTGTCTTTGCTGTCGCGCTGTATGTCGCGTCAAAGGTCAGCGACCTTTGATCTTCGCTTAACCTCCAGCTGTTACTTTTGTTGACTCGCGTGTTGCTTCACTGTAGTCCGCTCCGTTTTGTGTCGATACTCTTGTTGGAAACAATCGGTCCTAAGCGCCTCTGTCGTGTCGAAACACTAAGACACAAAAGAAACGAAGTATAACGAATCACCGGCGAGTCAACCCTCGGAGGTTGAAAGTAACTGTTGGAGGTTACGCGAAAGTCAAAGGTCAGCGACCTTTGACCTGACAAAGTACAGCGCGACAGCAAGGACAAACAACTGACTCGGTATTGAGCAGTTGCCCGAGTCGTCACCGTATCGAACCGCAACAGCAATAGTAAAACGATTATTAACTGTATCTCTTCGTATTCCTTGTACTCTTATAAAAGATTGTATCTCTTTGTTTTAATCAACTTACTTTGCCCTCACATACTAGTGCAAGGTGGTTCACAACTCTTTAATCAACGCTTCCGCTACTACACCAACTCTACCCAGAGTTCACCCCTGCAAAGATCCTAAGGACTTTTCATTCCAACATGGTATCAGAGCTATCAGGGGGAATTCAACTTCTATACCGACAACATCAACAAGCATGGCTACACAAAAGGAAAGGAGCAACTCCAACGGCTCCCAGGGCACTACTCCTACTCCACCTCCTGCCTCTGGCCTACAGACAGAGGAGGGCACAGCAACAAGACCCAGAGCAATATCTACCGAGTCTCCCGGGAATCAACCTGCAGACTTCGACCAGAGCATGATGGAGAAGTTTTTCTCCTTCATGTCCTTCAACGAACAACACCAGCAATCGGCACCTGCGCAGTCACACAACAGCAACAACAATGGAGCAACACCCATGAGTCTCGACGGCTCATCATATGCACGAGGAAATCAACAACAGCAGCCTACCTTTGCTTCGTACGAGCGCGGGTCCATCAGCTTTATGCCACACCCACAGCCTTCACCTGGACAAGAAAAATCACTGGACGCATTACAAGTTCAGTCGCAGTTCGCACACGTTCTGAAGATGCAGACGTCAAGACCTTTCGATGGAAAGGACTTCTTCACCTGGTCGTTCGAGTTCGAGCTGATGATGGAAGGCGCGCAGATACTCGGGTTCTTCGACGGGTCTCTGCCATACCCAACAAACGGCACACAGTACGAGAAGCAGCAGTACACCTATCAGTCAATGATGGCGTACACGATCCTACTGAGGAATATCACCCCGACTCAACAGCAGAACATAAGGTCTTACCGAGGTTACGGCAACTCCGCGGAGCTCGCGTACAACCACCTGAAGAGCCTGTATCAAGCAACAGACAGCGTAAGCCAAAGTCGGTTAATGGCGCAACTGACAACGGTTGAAATGAAACCAGGGGAGAAAGGAATGGTGTATATCAGTCGATGTCGCGAGTTGCGCGACAAGCTTCTTCGATGCGGAGGGTCGATCTCTGAAGACGCCTTCGTGACAGTCATCATCGGTGGCCTCGGTCCTCAATGGCGCGCCACAAAGGCCATTCTCCGAGCTCACGGAAGAATCTCCGAAGTAGCGCTCTGCGCCGAAATCCACGCCGAGCAGCAAGACATGGACCTGCAAGAAGAACGACACAAAAAGAAGACATCAGCACCGGAATTCGCGTTCCACACTCAGCGACGCTACAACAACAACAACAACCGGCAGCAACAACCGAAGCCAGTACCTCCGTTCTGCCACATCTGCAAAACTTCAGGACACCCGCGTACGCACTGCCCAAATCGTCAACAGTCAACAACTCCACAGCGGCAACTTCGACCTTCAAGCAGCCAAATCGCCTCAACGCAAGCAAATCCCATGACCCAGATTCAAGCCTCAACGACTTCAACGGGACAACCTGCACAAGGAGCAAGAAACATCGTCAGCTGCATGGCAAAGCTGAGTGACTCCTGCATCACCGAGTCACCACCACACTACTCACCGGAAGAACAACTCGACGAAACCACACCCCGCCGCGAGTCACTTCAGCCGAACCCGACATACGCCGCCATCGCCCAAAGCGAACCATCCGGAAAAGACACATGGTTCTTGGACAGTTGCTGCGGACAGCACATGTGCTCCTCGGGACGCTTCGTTCAACGAGAACACCAACTTCAACGCGAAGTTGTCATTACAGTCGCCAACAATCAGAACCTGCGAACACGACGACAAGGCGTAGTTCAACTTCAGTCAAGGGAAACAAACGTTATACTGCAGATGTCAAAAGTACTAATCACAGAGGGACTCGGCTACAACTTACTGAGCGTCAGTCAGCTAATGGCGAAAGGGATTCACCTCGAAGCAGACAGCACCACCCAAGAATTCAAACTGTATCATGGGAGAGGAGGACTTTACATCGGCAAAGCGGTCCTCAAGAACAACGTCTTCGTTCGTGATTTTGTTCCTGATCTTGGCACCGCCGACAGCGACGCCGTCGTTAACTTCACCAACTGGACACACCCTCCAAACCTTGATCCAGACTTCAGTCCAGAAGGCTTCTGGTACTCACACACCATCCCTGAAGCAGAAAGAACAAGGGCGTTAGCAACAATTCAGACAACATCGGCAGCAGCAGAGACAACATCGGCAGCAGCAGAGACAACATCGGCAGCAGCAGAGACAACATCGGCAGTAGCAGAACCATCAACGGCAGCAGCAGGAACGTCAACACCAATTACTGGTCCTTCAACGACACCGCTCCTCATCGACGACACACCACCGACACCCGCGCAACAACTACACCCAGCACCACAAGAAGTTCATCGTAGCGCCAACTTCACCGCCAACTTCTACTCCAACTCCGATATGTACCGACGATCACCCGGACATCGCGCCGACGAAAGCACCTGGCACGCAAGGATGGGACACCCAAGCAACACAGTATTAAACAATACGATAAGAGCAGGAGTACTCGACAAGGACTCACTCCTACTGACCGACGGACGAGAACTTCAACGAGTACGCGGAACGTGCTTCACCTGCCCTGAAGGTGACTTACCACATCGACCGTTTGCGTCTCATCACAACCCGAGCGCACCCGCGTACGCACCACTCGAGAAGGTGTATAGCGACATCCTGTACAATCGGGAACCAGGACAAGTAATATACAACTATACAATCACCTTCATCGACGCCGCCACCCGTTACGTCTGGCACCTAAACCTCCCTAGCCGCGACATGGCATTCGCAGCCTTCGTTGCCTGGCTACCAGTAGCAGAGAGAGAATCGGGCGTGAAACTGAAAAGCTTCCAGTCAGACGGAGGAGGAGAATACACCTCTCAGCGATTCAAGCAGTACCTGGCGGAAAGGGGAATCAAGCGGCTCATCTCCCTTCCCTACGCC